TAAAGATAGAGTCTTTACAGAAGTAATCAAGTTGAAATGAGGTCATTACATGGGGTCCTAATCCATTATGACTGGTGTCCTTATAAAAAGGGGAAATTTTGACAGAGCCACATACAGGTAGAATGCCATGTGAAGATGGAGACAGCTACTTACAAGCCAAGGAGAGAGGTCTGGAACAGGTCCTTCCCTCACACCCCTCAGAAGGACCAACTTTGCTGACACCTTGGTTTTTGGAATGCAAGCTGCTAGAACTGTGAGACAATAAACTATGGTTTTTAAGCCACCCAGTGTGGTACTTTGTTATGGCATCGCTAGCAAACTAATACACCTGCTTTCTGCTGACGTGGCAGCACTGGCAGCCGGATCTTCGTGGCGGGCGGCCCCTGTAGACAGGGCACCTGCCGTCCAGTTCCGCTGTCCTCTCACCCAGCCCCTCACCCCACCTGCCTCACCCTGTGGGCTGGAGACTGGAGATTGCAGGTTTCAGCAGTAGTTGCCAGTGCTCTCTGCAGGATGCACACGCCTGTGCATCCTTCTCCCAGGAACAGCCTTCAGTTCACACCCAGAGAGGAAATGGAGCCCCAAACTATACAGGCACATGACCCACTTGGATTGGTGTTGACGCTGAAGGTTGTGACATATGAGCACCCCAGGATCTCAGTGTCCTCCCCCAAAGCCCAGGCACCAGGCCCCTCTCTTCTCCAGGACCAGGCATTCAAGCCCCACCCCACTCTCAATAGGCCTTTGTCCCTGACTGCGAAAGGCACAGACAGAGTCTGACATCACGAAGCCTGAGGTGGGGGAGGGACCACTCCACCCCCTCCAGCTTTCCCCTGCTCCTAGCTCCTGGTCTGAGGGATTTCCCTGGCCCTCACCCCTGGGTTCTCCCTTGGGAGAAAGGACCCTCCCTCCCCACTGCTGTGAAGAGAAGATGTCTCACTGTGGCCGAACAGCTCATGGTCAAACCACTGCTACACTTAATCATAACACCTCCTCCAGCTCCCCCACCCCCTGCCCGTGCCCACCTTGCAAAGATCATGACTAATGGGAGGGGCTGAGGTAGCATCAGGACCACCGTGGAACCTGCACCCAGAGGATCTGCACCCAGGTTAGAGTCACCACGGCTGTGCGTGCACCAAGCACTGTTCTCGGGGACACAGGGGAACACAAGATAGACAGGGTTCTGCCAAAACCCTGCCCTTCAAGAGCTCCCGGGCTAGCAGGGAAGCCAAGGACAAGGCAGCACATCGGGAGTGCAAATGGGCAAGTGTGCCAAGGGCTATGGAAGGAAAGGATGGCATTTAAATAGAGGGGCTGGGCTTGGCTTGGCAAGGGGGTAAGGAAGTGGCATCCAATCTGCTGAGCCTAAAGGACGAGCAGGCTGTGGCCAGTGGTGCAGTGGGAAGTGGAACAGGGTAGGGACAGCTTTCCAGGAAGGAGCAGTAAGTGCAAAGGCCCTGAGTCTGAACACATGTAAACACCCATTCTATGTTTATTGAGCTTAACGCCATGCCAGGGGCTGGTCTACAAGCAGGGATAGATTGAGAATAACACTGACAGAGCCCTGCCTCACGGAGGTCACGTTCTTCAAGAGGAGACAGTTAACACATAAGGTCATTCTGGATGACAAGAAGAGCCAAGAAGAAAATAGACCAGGATGACCAAGGGGAAGTGACTCTAGAGAAGTTGGAGGTGACACCTGAAGATGGGGGTGGGAAAGACCTGTCTCCTCCTCCTGCCCACACTGGACGCTACTGGCCTCTCACGACTGAAATTATACCTAACACTGCCAAGCCAGATTCCCTAAGGACAATGCCTTCTGTCCCTCAGCCTGGGACTTCCAGAGAGATTAGGCCACACCCCCGCAGGGATCCAGAATCAGGGTGCACAGTGATAGACAAGGGGGAACAAGTGAGGGGGCCACCTCCCCCCACCCCAATCCCCTCCAGGAAGGAGCTAGTAGAACCCAGGCGTCAGGCTGCCCAGTCTGAGCCCCGTGGTGACAAGGGCCCCTTTGTGCCCCCCTCCCCCAGGGGCAGGGAGGAGCTGGGCCCTGGAGGCAGGCGGCCCCTGGCACCCAGGGGGAGGGGAGGGGCCAGCAAGTGGGGACCTAGACCCTGGGAGGCCAGGGGACTGCGAGCTGGGCCGGCGGAGCAGAGGGTGCGGAAGCCAGAGCATCCAAGTGAGTATTGCTGCGAGAGGTCTGGCACATGGGGGAGAAGATGGGCAGTGGAACCCAGAGCATATGCAAGGTGAAGCGCTCTGGGCGAGGGAGGGTCACTGTGAATGGCCACTAGTTTAGTACGGGGGAGGGCATTGCTTGGCACTGCTTTGGGAATTGACTGGGCCCATGGTGGGGACAGAAACAAGGCTTTGGAAAGAAGCCACAGAGAGAAAAAACAACAGGCTCTCCTCGGCACCCCTTGTGGCTGGAGGTTATGTAGGAGCGGCTCCCCTGGACCTCCCAAGTTTGCAGCAGGTGGGCTGGGTGAAGAGCGGAAGGATGCCCAGGTGATCAGACACCTGCATCCTGCAATCTGGGAGGAGATGGGGGCAGTGAGCTGTGAGCGAGCAAGTTCTAGCACCTGGCGCACGACAGCTGCATGTGTGTGTGCACCTCCCTTGTGTGAGTCTCAGCCTACTTCAACGTTTCTCAACTTCTTTTCATTATGCCCCACTAAGGAAACTTTTTAGATACGTTTTACCTAATCCCATTCCTCCCTTGAAATTTCGACTGTATGTTTAATTAATTAATTAATTTATTATTTTATTTTTATTTATTTATTTTTTTAAAGATGACCGGTAAGGGGATCTTAACCCTTGACTTGGTGTTATCAGCACCGCACTCTCCCGAGTGAGCCACGGGCCGGCCTTGTATGTTTAATTTTTAGTGTATATATGTTTATGTATTGTGGCCCTTTAGAGAGCCATTGTAATAATTAAGATTGTTTTGGCCCCTACTTCAAGAACCTGTTTCTGCCTGTTCAAAAGTTTTTTCTACATGCTTGTTTCACATTTCTGCCCAGGCCGCATGGCTGGTCCTCACCTGTGTCTGTCTCCTGTACCTTCCCATGGCAGGTGCAAGGGTGGCATCTGCCATGCGTTCATCGGTGTGTACTGGGTCAACCTGTCTATAGTTACATCTCGGTGTGTGTGTTCAGGTCCTTGTGTTTTTGTGAGCATGGCATGCATGTAGGGCAACGTGTGTGTGCCTGAATGCCATGTCCATGTCTGTCCAGGTGTATGGTAGACAGGAGGGAGTGCAGCCCAGGTGTGCCTTTGCGACTGTGTGAGTGCCAGCACATCTCTGCAGGCACAGGGGTCCCAGTGTCTGTACGTGTGCACAGGGCCCTGCCTGAGTCTCTATTGTGTGAGCCAGCTCCTTCTGGCTGGGTCTAGATCTGTCACATTTCATAGCAGCGTTTGCATGTGTCTGTGTCTGTGGGAAGAGGGCAGCAAAGACTGGGAAAAGCAGCCACTTGGAAATCCTGGCTCCAACCCTGAGGCGACCCACAGAGCAGCTGGGTGCCAGGAGCTCACTAACCCCCAACTCCAGTCCTTCCTGGCCCCACTCAGAGCCCAGCCAAGACTGCACGAGTCCTCTCTCACTCCTCACCTACCCCAGAAGCCCCCCAGGGTGAGGCACCCTCTCCCTTGGGGAAACAGGGCTCTTTTGTACTGGGCACTGGCCTCTGGTGAGGGTGGGGACATGAGGGGCCGTCTGTGGGGTGGGAGAGGGCGGCAGGAATTCACACGGCATGCTGGGAATGCTGATGCCGTGAAACCCAGTCATTGATGGGCTGGGTCCCTGCCTGCCACCCCCAGGCTTCAGCCGTGGGACATCTGCTCCCTCACCCCACTCACCACACCCCCTGCTGCACCACCACCCTGACGCTGCCATTACCCCTTCCCTCTCTGAGTTCTCCCACATCTTGGCTAGGTTGAGGGCTTGCTTTGGATTAACTTTGAGGTTGTGTAGGAGGGCTCCAAGTATCCATGGACGACAGAGACCACATGAGCAGCCTTAAAACAGGCCACAGCCCAGAGTATACACTGACAGAGGGGGGTGGGTGCTCGGGCTCCCTCCCCTTGCACCTGACTGTCATTCCAGGTAGGCTGGCTGGCAGCTGCAAGCGGGACAAGAAGACATTCCCAACTCAGGGAGACTGAGGTGAGGGGCAGGGCACCAGCTTCCCTTCCTCTTGGCTTCCCACGTCCTGCTGCTCCAGCCCGGGCTCTGTCCTAGCTGCAAGCGGGACAAGAAGACATTCCCAACTCAGGGAGACTGAGGTGAGGGGCAGGGCACTAGCTTCCCTTCCTCTTGGCTTCCCATGTCCTGCTGCTCCAGCCCGGGCTCTGTCCTTACTTTTTGGAGATGCCCAGGGGCACAATGGTGATGAAGATAATTATTAGCACATCACTGTCACATAGACACAGGACAGCTTGGTGGTTAAGACTGCAGACCAGTTGTGTGGCCTTGGGCAAGTTACTTAACCTCTCTGGACCTCAGCTATAAAATGAGGATAATGATTACACGTACCTCAAAGAGATTCAATGACTTCATATAGCAGAATAAAGCACTGAGGCCTGGCACATGGCCAACGCCATATAATGCCAGTTTGTAATTATAACTAACAGTAGCAGCTAATATCAGAACAGGTCCTTTCCTGAAGCCTTGACAGAAGCACTCCCCCAACCCCGTTCACTTCCTCTGGCCTTCAGCCTTCTCTCCTTCTCCAGCTACGGCTCACTTGCTGTACAGAATGATATTCCTCACGGCACTGTCCCTGTTTTGGATTATGATTTCAGGTAATGGCTGGGAGGTGCTGGGGATCCTGGGGCCTTGGACCCTGAGCAGACTGGGGGCATTTCTGTGGGTGCCTGGACCCCCAAGCCAGTGGAAGGTGAAAGGAGTGGAGGGGGTGAAAAACGTGGGACGTGTTCCTCAGCCTCAGTGGTCCTGCTCACCCACAGCCTCTCGAGGGGGTCACTGGGGTGCCTGGATGCCCTCGTCGATCTCAGCATTTGAGGGCACATGCGTCTCCATCCCCTGCCGCTTTGACTTCCCCGATGAGCTGCGGCCGGCTGTCGTGCATGGTGTCTGGTACTTCAACAGCCCCTACCCCAAGAACTACCCTCCAGTGGTCTTCAAGTCACGCACACAAGTCGTCCATGAGAGCTTCCAGGGCCGTAGCCGCCTCCTGGGGGACCTGGGACTGCGCAACTGCACTCTCCTGCTCAGCAACGTCAGCCCCGAGCTGGGTGGCAAGTACTACTTCCGTGGAGACCTGGGTGGCTACAACCAGTACACCTTCTCAGAGCACAGCATCCTGGACATCATCAGTGAGTCCCCAGAGGTTGTGCAGGCACTGAGGGGCTGGGGCAGTGCTAGGGCAGACAGGGTGCAGCAAGAAGTCCTCCCAGCACCTTCCCCAGGAGGTCTGAAGGGCAGATCCGGGAGGTGTCAACTTGGCAGCAGGGTGCAAACCTCAATGCCCTGTGGACCGCGCAGATGACAGAAATGAACAAAGCAGGGCCCGAAATAGTCTTGCTGCCCTGGGACGAAAACGGTTGCTCTTACTCTTCTAGAAACACCTGGTGAGAGACAGTGGGGCCCAGGAGTTAGGGGAAAGGCCTCTGGGTCCCTGCTTCAGCTAGGTGACCTTGGGCAAGTTACTTAACTTCCCTGGGCCTTGCTTTCCTCTTCCGTAAAATGGGGATGAGAACAGCACGTAAAGCCAACGAGTGAATAGCTGTCAAGTGCCCAGAGCAGTGCCCAGCACACAGCACATGGCACCCGGCTCCAGATAACAGGATGCAGGGTCATTGCTGTCAGCATTCTGGACTTTTAAGACAAACCAGAATTGTAGATTTTTCAGTGTAATCTCCTAATTCTAAAATATTAGCTGCTGATTCAGATATCTTTTAAGAAATTCTTCAGGTCAAATAAAATGCAGCTATGGCCAGATCTGGCAATCAGAATAGGGCCCACTGCCTGATTTCAGGCATCCCCAGTGCCCAGTTTCTGAGAGGCCCTACTGCTTGCAGCCCTGAGATTCATGCTCCCATCAGCACCAAGTCTACAGGAGGAGCCAGATGCCAGCCCCGGTGTAGAAAGAGACAGCACAGGTGCGACACACACACA